AATAAAATTATATAAAATGTTATGTTTCTCACTATTTTACTAATTGATTTTAGTTTAATGCTCTAAGTAAACTAGTTCAACACACAAAAATACATTATATCGGCATATGTTTCTTGAAAATTTAAGAGAAGATGCTTAATTTTGGATTTTTTGATCAAAAATCCAAAATTAAGCATCTTCTCTTAAATTTTTAAGAAATATAAATTTAAATATGCTATTATAATGTAATTTTGAGTGCTGAACAAGTTTACTTAGAGAATAAAATTAGGATCAATTAGTAAATTTTGAGAATAATAGCATTTTGTAGTATTTTTATCATAAAATATTATATTTCTCAATATTTTAATAATTGATTCTAACTTCATGCTCTAAGTAAACTTGTTCAGCACTAAAAAATACATATATATATATTCGAACTAAAACTAGTTTGCAAACTTCGGACTCAAACCCGGATCAAACTCAAACTTAACTAAAAGTTTGAATATTAAAGTTTGAGTCTGGTTTGAAAAATCAAACCAAACTCAAACTTTACTAAAGTTTGATCCAAGTCCGGTTTGTAGGAACACTAGAGCAGGTAAAACCAGTATACTACTTATTGTATTAATATATATGCAATAAACAATAAATAATACCTAAAATTTAATGTTAAGAAATTCACCAAACCTGCTATTAGACAATCTAATTGTGCAACTATTCTCAATATGAAAATGGAATACTCTGCCATTTATACCATGCTTCGCAACTAGCTCTGTTATGACTAGTATTCTAATATTGTTGATATTGTGTTTGTTTTCTGGTCTTTTGTATTTCTGAAAGTTGCTTAGTACCAGATATATACTTTTTTTCTAGTGCATAAACCCTTTAAACTATTTTTTTGGGGGTGCCCCTCTTTGAATTTATTAACAGATTTTGTTACTAGAACTAGAACTTGTAGTTTCATCTTTGTATTCTAGTTGTCTTATATTTCTTTTTTGAATAACCTTTTCTTTGCTTTTTGGTACTGCTTATTAATAAAACTATTCATAAAGTCCTCAAGTTCTTGTACTATGTGATTACCAGCATCTAATTCAATCTGAATAGCCTTTTTCAATAATCTATTAACTATTATATAGGCTTTAGATGATTAACTTTGGCATGAATATTACTAAAAAAAACATCTGGTAGTCGAGAAGACAAGTCAGGAAAAGTTTGTTCAATACTACTTGAAGTTTTTGAACTACCCAATCCAATGATAAAATGATATTTTCTTGTTTCTAATTCAAGCCCAATTTGTTTTTATCTGCATACTATCTCCCTAATATTAGCATAATATAGAATGTAGCGTAGTTGGACATAGTCATAACTTTGAAAAAATGTCTACAAACTAAACCACACTAAATCAGGTTGAGACATGTATATAAGTGTGAATTATCATTAAACAATATCACATAATTTTTTGTATTGTGTTTATGTTGGGTAACTTTTCAAACTTCACAGATTGAATCAACTTTTGTAGATAGTATTAACTTTTTAATCAAAGTAGCAAGCACATCTATAAAATCTTCAACAAAGACATTAAAAACATCATCTAAGTCAAATTGTTTAGATTGTTCAATTAAGTTAGACTGTTCATTTAAGTCAAATTGCAATTCTAATTCCTGAAAATTTTTAACACGTCGTGATGTATATCATATAGCTTGGAAGATCTTTTGCCACTATATAGATAAAAAAAACTGGTATTAAATAGGTGGTAATCTATTTATTAATATCAGGTAAAAACTCAGAACTAGCATGAATAAGTGTAGACTCTATAACAAAATGAATTCAATTTTTATATTAAACTAAAGTGAATACACGATTAATTTGCTCATTAATGTGCTTTTCAAGATTGATTAACTATTTACTAAGTTCTTGATAATAGTATTTTGGCCTTCAACTCGTTAAGATAATTGCATGCTAGCAGTAAAAACTTTAGAAACATAATAAAGAGCCCAATATTTTTTTCATTATAAAGAGCACAATTAAGATATAGTGCAGCATCAGGGAATTTTGATAAAAGATTATCTCATAAAATATCAAATTGTTGATATAAAAGCAAATTGCGTCTTTGGTACCAGTCTTTAGAAAATTCATCATAATATACATCTAATTTTTTTTTTCAAATTTCTTATTAAATTTTGCTTTACATAGAAAATACAATAGACATGATATGTATTAAATAAAACATTGGCAACTGCAGCATTAATGGCAAGATTGTTGTCTGTTATTAATATTAAAGTCATAATATTAGTATTTTTTATTAAAGTTTGAAAAACCCATTCATAGCTTTCAGCCATTTAATTATTCATAAGGGCCTGCCCTATTAAATAAGACCTATTATTATTGTTCACTATTAAAAAAAAGCCCAATACCATTTTAAATCGGTTGGTAGAATAAGTATTGTCATGTTGAACAATATCTCGATATTATATATATAAATTATATTTATCAGATGATATTTAAAATAGTGAGGTAAGAGAATTATTAGCAGGATCAATTTTCCAATTTATAATCCACCTATTATCTTTAAATTTATGTTCTAAAAGATCATTAAGTAAGGTAGCTGCCTCATATTCAACATGATTCTGTCATTTGAAACTCTGAATAATATTTGAAAGGTCTTGAGGCAAAAAAAAAACATTCAGGTATTGTTTTACTAGTATTTGATATTGTGTTTTCATATTGATATTTCTAATTTTGGCCCAAAATTTGATATTATTTAACATGTCTTCAGAAAATATTTGGTATTTCAAAGCAAATCTATTAGTTTTATCACTTATTTGGTGATTATAATTCAAACAGACAGAATTGATTTTTAATATGCCAGTTGTCTTAGGACAACTGGCACAAACTTGCTAGTAACACCCAATATATTTACTTCATGTCTGTTGTTGATTTTCAGCTATACAAGTTTTATTTGTATTATTATGACCCTGATGCTTACAAGCATATTGGCAGCTTCGACAAATCCCATTACTATATTCTGATTCATATATAATACTCACAAAATTTTGTGATTTTGGATAAAAAGATATGAAACAGTCAAGTTCATCCCAACTTCCAAATATTTTCCAACTGCTGGTTCATCTATTATATTAGCTGAATTCTCATTACTATTATTGAAATTTAATGAGAATATATTTAAAATGAACTTTAAAACAAAAGTAATTAAGAAAAGACTTTACTTACTGTGATTCAACATGATTAATTGCTAATTTATTCATCACATTAGTCAAACTCTTATTACTATTATTAAAGTTTAGTTAGAAATAAATTTGAACCAAAAGTAATTCAAAAAAGACTTGACTTACTATAATTCAATATGATCAAGTTTATCCTGACTGCCAACTATTTGCCTATTTGCTGATTTATCTATTATATTAATAGAATCCTTATTATTACAGTATTATTATAGTTTAGTTAGAATATATTTAAAATGACTTGAACCAAACATAATTCAAAAAAGGTTTGACTTACTATAATTCAATAAGGTCAAGTTCATTCCAACTTTCAACAGTTTGCCCTAATGCTAGTTCATTCATTACATTAATCCAATCCTCATTGCTATTATTGAAATTTAATTAAAATATAATAAAAATGACTCTGAACCAAAAGTAATTTAAAAAAGGCTCGACTTACTATAATTCGATATAGTCAAATTTATTCCAACTGCCAATTGATTGCCCAACTGCTAGTTTATCCACTTTATACTAAATCATTATTACTATTGTTGAAGTTCAATTAGATATATTTGAAATATCTTTAAACCAAAAGTAATCTAAAAACGAAAGTGTTGACTTACTGTAATTCAATACTTGCAAATTCTTCAGTATGTTTAAAGCTAACTTCACTTTCCATTTTTATAAATATAATTCTAATAAATGATTTTATTTCAATTTCCAAAAAAAGACCAAACTAGTAAACAGATAGTTCGTAAGTTATGGATTAAAAAAAAAGCTACTTAAATTTTTTAACATGAAACAAAAAAATACACCTAAAGAAAATAGAGGTTAAAAAGTAGATTAAATACTATTTAGCATAAAATAACAAAAAGCATAATGCTATGATAAAGTGATAAGCAATTTGAGATAAGATTTAAAAAAATATTTGCACAATAAAACTAGCCTGTATGTGCCAAGTTATTAAGTAGCATGTTTTGTGCTTAAGTGAAAAAATATTAGATAAAATATAATCAAATGTATATTTATTTGATTTTTTTGTATACGTCAGAATAAACTTGGCAAACAATATCAATATTACTGATTTTGTATATAATATCATTATATGTATTCATAATCAGCATGATATGCATAATCAAAATAGTAGGTACAAAAAATATAGATATACTCTACAGGTATATCTATATTAACTCTAATAAAAATATAATAAATTAAATATATTAAATACAATTTTTTAAAAAAACAAATTAAATTATTAAGTTAAATTTAAAAATATAGAAATATAAATTAAACATGAAAAAAAAAGATAAATTATATGATTTTTTAAAAAAAAGAAATAAAAAAACAAATTAAATTAAGTTAAATTTAAAAATAAAGGAAAAAGAACCAATTCATTAACTCTTCCCTATGATCACTTGTACCAAATTTAACTAAAACAAAATTTATTTTTCTTTTAATTTTATTAACTAAAGTTACTTTTTCTAAATAATTAAACTTGTCCTTAAAGCCAAATTACAGCCTTCAGGTTAATTCTTAATTAAATATATAATGTTTGTTCTAAATAATTATACTACTCTCTAACTCGAATTTAGCTAAGGAAACCTGCTCTTTTTTAGAAACAGAGCTCTCCAGCTCTTCTCTAGCTTCATTTTGACATAAAACATCAAAAATAGACCAAATTTAACTATTTTACAGTTAAAACTCTCTTATTACTTCTTTTTAAAATTCTTTAAAAAATTTTTCTTTTTTTTTCTTTTTCTCCTTATCCTATTTAATTTTGGACCTAAACACATTTTGGAACAACTAAAACTAGTGGTCTCTTCAATTAATAATTCTTTATAACAATTTCCTTTTGAAATTCTAATTAATTTAATTGATAATCCATTTGTTACCTGGAGGGGATCTGCAAAATTTTATATATAAAATTTACTATTGGCCCAAATGTGGCGTGCATATATCTAAAACTTTTTTATACTAAGTTAATCACTTTTCTAACTTAAGAAACTTTTGTAAAACTTGTCAAGGCGCATTTAATAGTGGTTAGAGTGTTAAAATCGGCTTGGTGGGTGTCAAGATATTTTTAAAAAACAGTTTTTTTACTATATAAACTTCTTTGCAAACAATACTATTGTTTACAAGGAAGTTTATATAGTAAAAGAAATGTTTTTTAAAGATATCTCAGCATCCACCAAGCTGATTTGACGTTTTAACTACTATTAGATACACCTTGACAAGCTCTACAAAAGTCTCTTAAGTTAAAAAAGTGATTAACTTAGTATAAAAAAAGTTTTAAATACATTTGAGCCAATAGTAAATTTTATTTATAAAATTTTGCAGATCCTTTCCAAGTGACAAATGGATTATCAATTAATACAAATAAATAATTACAAATCTATAATTCCTTTTAAATTACACAACCTATACAAGCCTATTACAAATTTATTTTAGTCATACAAGCCATATTTTGTACTATAAGCCACACAAGCTACACTAGCCATAGCCACACTAGCTACAAAAGTTATATAAACAATACAATATTACATAATTCAAATTTTACTATATCGTGTAGCTTTCTTTACTTTCTTCGATACTTTTGCTATATTAACTAATTAAAATGCCTATCTTAATAATTGAAGAGCCTAATTCCCACAGTTTTGACTATTTTTACAATAAATATTCATATTGCTTTGGTATTGGTACCAAAGATTTTGACCCAACCATCTTACGTATTCGACCTAAGGATGTCAATCCTCTCATTTGCGAACCTAATAAGTTTTACTACTATTTTAAAATACCAACTTAGCTAGCCTTAACTACTTGTCTTTGTGGCAAATATCATATAAACTTTACTTCCAATTCTATCAAATCTCCCATCCCAAACCAACTTAACAATTTACTTAGCTTATCCCTTAAACCATATTCCAAGCAATTTTGCCTAGAATTTTAAAAAGTATTTACAATTTTTTAAATAAAATTAAAAATTATTAATAATAAGAGGTATAATTTATATATACAATATTTTATTTAAAATATATTCTATAAGCTTTATTATAGAAATTTTTTAATTTTACTA